TTGTATATATATATATGTATCACATTGTACAACAACGCATGAAGATGGTTTATTTGTTATTGTGTTTATTTATTTATTTGCTTAACTTTGTAGTTTGTGGTGCATTATACAGAAATGAAGCAGAACATGTATCCACAATTTAATATTTTTTATTTTTTTTCTAGTTTTAATTCAGGGCCTCTAAATGCCATATATTGCTGCAAAAACTAATGTACAGTCCAGAAATGCAGGAGTTTAAAAGAAGAGCCAGAGACAATGGAAGTGTAACATGTCAGATAGCAGATATTATTAGACTAAATTTGGTGCCTTGGACTAAAAACTGGTTTCAATAATTAGATTCAACCTACATGTTTAACCCCATTTATTATTCCCCAAGGATCTGGAAACATTCTGCAAATATAACTGGATATGTTTTGTTTCAGGAGCTTAAACTTTGGTGGTGCTGGCAAACAACAGAGCAACTGGATTATTATGTGTCAGCTTGAAAGGACAAAGTGCAGCTTCCTGTTATGCCTTGGGATGGGTATTATTATGTGTTCATTAATTTATCTGAGGATTAGAAAGCCAACTGAGCAAAAATACCTACACTCTCCAAGCTGCAGACCCTTCTCCCCAGAATGTAGACCGTTTCTGTCTGGTTCAGAGAACAAAGGATTATGGTATCGGCTTGACTGCCAGGTAGGCGTTTTCCTCATTTACTGGGAGGGGTGTATGATATTTATAAAAACGTCTGGTTCAATTTTGATCAAATTTCAATTTTATCTACTTTCAACTTCCAGTTTGTTGTAAATCACAGCATGCAATATGTTCTTATTCATTTGACCTATCTAAATGCAAAAATGTTGCATCAATACATACATAGCATATGAGTAACTATCAGACATATTAGGAAAAAAAATAGAAATGGAATGTGTTGATAAAGAAGTTGTATATACTGATATGCTAAGTTTAAATGTATATTTCTTGTGTCTACAGGTCAAAAGCTATATCCTCAATGGGTATCTGAAGTGTTCAAGACTGAAGAAAGACTTACACTTTATCAACAGACCGCTCAGTCGTGAAGAGGAGGACTACCCTTTAGCTTTTATTGTCACTGTTCACAAAGACCTGGAGCTTTTTATTCGCATGTTGCGAGCCATTTACATGCCACATAATGTCTACTGTATTCATGTTGATGCAAAAGCTCCACGGGAGTACCAGGTGACCATACATAAGCTTGTTAGCTGCTTTCAAAATATATTCCTCTCCAGCCGCAGCGAGACAGTGACATATGCTGGGTTTTCTCGCCTGCAAGCTGATTTGAACTGCATGAAGGATCTAGCAAATTCAAAGACAGCTTGGAGGAAAGTGATAAATTTGTGTGGACAGGATTTTCCCGTCAAGAGCAACCTGGAACTAGTGCAATACTTGCAGAGCAAACAGTGGCGAGACAAAAACATGACACCTGGCGTCAAACAGCCTATGGCTATGAAGTACAGGACACAATTCCAGTATAAGGAAATCAAAGGGTCGCATGTAGCTTTAAAAAGTCCACGATTGAAAAAAGGCCCTCCTCCTCACAATTTACAAATTTACTTTGGAACAGCATACTATGCTCTCACAAGGGCCTTTGTGGACTTTGTTCTGAAAAACCCCATAGCTCTAGACCTCTTGGAATGGTCCAAAGACACATTCAGTCCAGACGAACACTACTGGGTGACACTCAACCACATAAAAGGTAACTTGTTTATTTTACAAAGCCACATGAAAAATCCACATTATTAAAATATTATAATTAATGAGTTTGAAATTGGGGCAAAATAGTAGTTAGAGCTGGGGTGTCATGGTGAAAAGGTTGTAGGATCACTTCCTGGCCTGAGGCCTTTCTGGGTGGACATGTAGATTTACTCTGGGTACTCCAGTTTCCCCTCACAGGCTAAAAACATGCATGTTAGGTTAATTGGTAACTTTAAATTGTCCCTAGCTCTGAACGAGAGTGTGAATGACTGCTTGTTTTGTCTCTATGTGGCTTTGTGATGGACTTGCAGCCAGTTCAAGGTATTGTCCTTCTCTCGCACAGTGACTGCTGGAAATAAGCATCAGCTCCCCATGAGTCGAAAAGAGGAACTGGGTAAAGTTAACCTTTTGGCCAGTGGCCGTTTACACGTCTTACATGGGGGAAACTAAACAACCACTGGCCAAAAGGATGGCCCAGCACAGAAGATCAACATCATCAGGCCAGGACTATGCGGTCTACACTCATCTCCAGGCCAGCGGTCACTCGTTCAGTGTAGGATATTTTAGGATAACAGATTTTTGTTTTCCCTGAGTTACAGGAGGCACTTATCTGATGTATTGCTACAGTCACTATAGAAAGAAAAGTGGTCTAACCATAAGTGCATAGACTGAAGCCTGGTATGGCAGATTGATTGATTGATGTCATGTGAATGCACTTTAATAGGCAATGTTGCATCCTCTTGTATTGCAATTGTGTAAAAGGACATGTTTGTAAAACTAGCATTCACAAACTACTTGTTTAAACGGACTCCAAAAACTGCTAAAGCAGAAAACACAATTTTAGAAAGTCATAAAACTAAAATTTCCTCACTGTTAACACACACTATATACATATACTACATAAACCACAAACTGCTGAAAACAAGAGAGAATATAAGTTCAGTTTTAAGGTGCACATGTAACTTGACTGGTAAATCTGGGACCAGTATTTGCAATGGGTTAATCTTATTTATGAATAGGTAATGGCACCATTCAGATCATATCTTTAGAAAAACTCGAGGAGTGGCTTTTAGATTCTATTTACTGGAAAAAGGAAGCAGGGATGCATTAATTGCTTGGCTGATGACCGGAAACAGAGTATTATTAGCATGACTGCTGATCTGCAGGTACAGAATCAAGAAATCTATTTATTAGATAAATGGCAACTTTTATAAACAAAAATAAATTAATGGATTCACAAAAAACAAATACTGTAATTTTCTAGAAAGTCATTTATAATTCTCACAGCAGTAGTAAATGTGACCTTACATAAATACAAACTCAACTAATACATTTGCAACTGATGCGATCCCTCTGACAGCTAAACATGATCACACAAGAAAAACTTTCTAATGGAATATCAAAAAGTGTAGAATCAACACAGCTGAGATCTAAATATCACATTTATGTTTTGTTTCTTTCTCTAGGTTTTACACAATGTGTTTGTAGTTACAACCAAAACACACACACAAAATATATCACAATGAACTGAATTTTAGTAAGCAATAAATGTTTGTTAGGCCACAAAATAATGACTCTTTTTCTTTAATTACATGAAGAAGCTCCTGGCAGTTGGATTGACGGAGGTTGGGATGGAGATATCCGGGCAATTAAGTGGTGGGATCAAGAAGGACAAAAACACGATGGTTGCAAAGGTACTATAAAAAATATATATATATTTATTTTGTGTTGTGTTACATTACTCTATTACAGCTTTAGATCTGGTGATCTTTTGGAGATGTTGATCAATACAGTAAATGTGACTTAGACGTTCCAAATAAAGTCGCTATCTCCAAGTCTACTAATCAACAAACAGCTGCTAAAGAGCACAAAACAACAACAACAAAAATCCTAATAGAGAAAATGTCCTCAACTGCTGATATCAATGTTTAGGACATTATGTACGAGGCATCTGTATCTATGGACTGGAAGATCTTCGGTGGATCATCAACAGAAACAGCATGTTTGCCAATAAGTTTGAGAGTGACACCTATCCTGAAGCGTTGGACTGTCTGGAACAGTGGCACAGAAACAAAGTGCTGAGCAAGGCAACTGTTCCTGAAGATCCATCATGGCTGCTAGCTACACAAGACACTTTGAACGGTGGTGACAGTGGCTTCTACAACAGCAGTGCATGAGAACACTGTTGACATGATAAACAATGCGTGGTAGGTTATTTACAAGATGTGTTAAAAAAATGTGAGTGGAAAAAAATAGAGCTGAGAACAGAAGAACTGCACTGCGTAATGACAAACAAATGAGTTTGTCTTTTTATATAAAACTGAAATATTGTTCATCTTTTTAATGTATGCTTCATTTAAACATATTACAGAAATGACTAAATCATATAAAGGTTAGGTTCAAATATTTAATTCTGTATAATTATGTATGATGTTCAGTTTTTATTGCACTTGTTGAACCATTTAATGGCTATTTTACCCAAATATATTACCGTTTTAGGAATGAGAAGAAAGAAACCGTAAGGGCATGTTTTGTCCTTTGTTTTTCACTTTATTCCTCATTTATTGCACATTGTAACAGTTTCACTTTATTTTAAATTAAAGTGGAAAATATCAAAGTGAGGGTAGAGCAAATTGTGATTTAGGTTTTTTATCTCTTAATTTCAAGTTTTTATTTGAATCTTGAAAATATCAAGGCGTTAAACTTACGGTAAAATAGTAATTTGGATTTAAACTTGACCACAGTTTGTGACAGACTTTTATTAAAATGTGCAACGTGGAAGACGGGAGCTATGCATTTCCAAACAATAACAAAAGTAACACCAACCACACATGCTCAATTTGGTTTGTACTAACTAGATGATTTTCTCCTATTTGTCTCTTATTTGTCTTTATGATTAGCCATCTGAATTCTTATATAATCGTGTGTCACAAAAATGCACAGGTATTCACAAAAAAAATAATAATAATAAAAAAGAGCGAGGAGTGTCAAAATATTTAACTTAATATTTTTCCAAGCTTTCTGCATTTGAAATATATCAACATTAAATTAAGAACAGCAAAATTATGGGTAAAAATTTAACAAGGACATGCCGCCAAAATGCAGGATAAAAATATTAAATACTTCATGATTATTTTATATAATAAGACATGTAACTTTTCTAGTGGTTTTATTTTTACAACAAACTCAAAAACCTGATCTTTGACCGATACCAAGATGTTTTTACTTGGGACAACAACAATGAAGAATGGCTATCATTGACTGCCTTAATGTCTCAAAATAGTCTGTGCATGGGAAACTGTGACTTCAGCCTTTAAAACCCACAAAATCCTGACATGTAAGATCTAAAAATAGGTTCAAGAGCTGCCTTTGTGAGATTCCCATGTGGCTTCCATTGGGTCAGAAAATACTTTAGGGAAAAAATTAACTGTAGAACTAAAATATAAACAAATGACAATAAAAAAGGATAAAGTAGTATGATGCATCTAAATGTATATAATGAAGTACGGTATCCGCTTCTCATGGAACTAGAGAGAGACGTGCTTCACTTCACTACAGCTTGTTTAAACAGCACTTTTTTAAAAGCTTTCTGGACAAATGATCGTGCATTTAAAATGATAATATTTGGTCAGACACATCAGATGTCAGTTTTATTTATAGTTGTTTATATATTTTTAAATAGTTGAAGTATAATAACTCTGTCTACTGTCTTCAATTTCATAGGTACATAAAACATTGACCTTTTACAGAGACCTGGTGTTTTAAATTACCGGTGCTCATTTATTAGCAGCAAGGCTGTACATTTGAAACTGTTAATGCTATAATACACCTGTGTCATCTTAATGCGTTTTATGATTGGTTATTTATTTGCAATAAAAAAAAATTAAAAAAAAAACTTGTTTAAGGAGCTCTGCAATGATGTGGAAACAAAAAAAAACAAAAAAATTTTTTATTAATAATAATAATAATAATACCTACCTTGTGGCAGATTTCTGTCTTGACCTCTTTCAGGGCTCTCTCTGAAAACACACAGCCACAGGTCTGCAAGTAACAGAACCTGAAAAAGGAACGTTAACATTCACATTAGTATTCTCTCATTTTCCAGTTTTTCTCATGTCAAAGTCTATTTCCTGGAAATGATGAAACTAAAATCCTATAAATTACATAGATAAAAAAAAAAAAAAACGTCTACTCGTCGTTTCCACCCATCATTCCAACAAGACAGGTGCTCTGCAATCAGCTAAAACTCATGTTTCCTTGAGAAAAAAAAAAGCTTTGCTATCAAGTTTTTTAACTAGTGACTGTGTAACCTCAACCATGATGTTAAAAACAATATAAAGGGATCGTTGTGGACTTCTGAAAGAAGGGAAGAGTTCACAATGTTCTTGAAACAAGATACATTTGGGTGGAATGTGAATGTAGCACACTGCTTAAAATTGTTCACGTTTCTTCTGCAACAGTCCCATACCTAAATGTTTTTTTTTTTTCAATGCACATGTACACATGCACGTGTCTGAGTGTCTTCATATCTGCATCCACTCTGGCAGCCTATTGATCTATTCTTTGGGTTATCCTGTCATTGGCATGACTTCTAAAAGTGTACGATGACTGTACTGGTTATTAAAAAAAATAATAAAAAAAATAAAAGAATATATATATTTTTTATCACAACAGCAGTTCTGAAGTTAGAAGAAGAATTGTTTATTTTTATTAGCCTCCTATAGACTGAATAGACTAAAACACATAAAGCTATTTTAAAAGTAACTTATTACATGTATAGAATTATAATGACAAACATTAGATACTGTATAATGAAATATTGGCATTAGAATGTTCCATTAGACTAAGTTTCAGCTTTAAAGCCAAAATATTTTTTTGAAAGGGACATACTCCAAGATGCAGAATTTCTGAAATCATACATTAGTTCCTGTGTACAGCCTCAGTCTCCTTATCATGTATTAATAGGTTCAAGAAGAATATAATGTTTACCTGTGCTTGCCATTCATCTCCAAACCAACAACGGGACAAATGAACATGCCACAGTGGATGTCCTCATACTGGTCTCCTTTTGTATTTCTTCTCTCTCCCTCCCATTCAGGGTTATCAGTCAAGTTGAGCTCCTTTATATCCTGAGGAAAATAAAGCAGATGAGAAAATCAACACATTTCTGTTCTGAAATAAAGGTGGACACACAAAAGGGTTTTCAGACAAATACAGTGGTGCTTGAAAGTTTGTGAACCCTTTAAATTGTTTTATAGTTCTGCATAAATATGACCTAAAACATCAGGTTTTCACACAAGTCCTAAAATTAGATAAAGAACCCAGTTAAAAAATAGGATAATAATATTATACTCGGTCATTTATTTATTGAGGAAAATGAATCAATTTTACATATTTGAGAGTGGCAAAAGTATGTGAACCTTTGCTTTCAGTATCTGGGGTAAACCCAAACAGGCCTAAACCATGAAACCACCACCACCATGTTTCACAGATGGGATAAGGTTCTTATGCAGGAATGCAGAGTTTTCATTTATCCAAACATAACACGTTTCATTTAAACCAAAAAGTTCTACGTTGGTGTCATCTGTCCACAAAACATTCTTCGAACAACCTAGTGGCTTGTCCACGTGATATTTAGCAAACTGCAGATGAGCATCAATGTTATTTTCGGAGAGCAGTGGCTTTCTCCTTGCAACCAAACTCTGCAAACCAGTCCAAACTGTTTAGAGAAGGTTTTGTAACCTTCTCCAGCCTGATAGGAATCAACAAGTCTTTTTCTGAGTTCCTCACAAATGCCATGATGCCATGTTCATGCCATGATGCACTTCCACAAACATGTTGTGAAGAGCAGACTTTGATAGAGTAAAGTTTACCCACTCACACCTGATCATCGTCCAATTGATTGAAAACACCTGACTCTAATTTCAGCTTCAAATTAACTGCTAATCCTAGAGGTTCACATACTTTTTGTCACTCGCAAATCAGTAATATTGGATCATTTGCCTCAATAAATAAATGACCAAGTATAATATTTTTGTCCTACTTGTTTAACTGGGTTCTCTTTATCTACTTTTAGGACTTTTGTGAAAATATGATGTTTCTCATCATATTTATGAAGAAATACAGAAAATTCTAAAGAGTTCACAAACTTTCAAGCACTACTGTAATTTTATATTACAGCCCTATAACTACGGTAATATACCTTGATTCCGCGAATGTGTGCCACAGCCTCAGTGTTGGGTCTCTCAGCAGTCTTATCCAGAAGGTATTCAATAACAGCATCTTTGTTGTAAAGCCTGAAACATGACATGAAGAAGACTTTACAACTGAATTAAGTGTTTAACAATTCACATAAAGGTTGCACGAACCATTAATTTATGTTCATTAAATGGTAAATGGACTGTACTTATATAGCGCCTTTCTATCTAATCAAGATACTCAAAGCGCTTTATATTACAATCTGTGCCCTCATTTACCCATTCATACAACACTCTAGAATGATTTGTTCATTTAGCTTTGTATAGATCTAATAAAGAGTAATCAGAGCTTTAGCTCACATTCATACACCAATGGGACACACATCGGAGGCGATGAGGGGTCCAGTGTCTTTCCCATGGACACTTCAGCATGTGACTGCTGGTGGATTCGAACCCCCAACTCTTGCATTAGAAGATGACTGCTCTAACCACTCAGCCACAGCCGCCCCCCATTATGACCAGGGAATGCAAAGAAAAGCCATTTCAAAATAAACCGTTTGGCATGTTGGTATCATTGCATTTACAATATGCAAACAGTGTAGCTGGTGAGTGACATGCATGCTCCACACATCATCATCTTCTTTTGGATGTTCTCTCTTTAGGGGTTGCCACAGCAAGTCGTCCTCCTCCATCTCACTCTGTCTTCATTCCACTACTTCCACATCCTCTCTAATGGCATATAAGTATCTCCTCTTTGTCTTTTTTCCTGGCAGCTGCATTTCTAACATCATTCTACCAATATACCCACTGTCCCTCCTCTAGACATGTCCAAACCATCTTAGTCTGGTTTCTCTAACTTTATCTCCCAGTTATTCAACCTGTGTTGTACCTCTGATGATCCAATTCTTAATCTTATTCACCTTTGTCACTCCCAAGGAGAATCTCAATATCTTCATCTCTGTCACCTCCAGTTCTGTCTCCCGTCTTTTCATCAAAACCACTGTCTCCAAACGATACAACACAACTGGTCTCACTACTCTCTTTTAAACTGTTGCTTTGGCATTCACTGCCATTGGCACAAATCACTCCAGATTTTTTTCTCCATACACTCCAAAATACCTGGACTCTCTCTTTCACCTTTTTGCCACACTCCCCATTTTCCTGGATAGTGGACCCCGAGTACTTGAAGTCCTGCACTTTAGTGACCTCTGCTCCTTGTAGCTTCACTGTTCCACCTGCCACCCTCACATTCACACATGTACTCTTCTTGCAATGGCTGACATGCATTCCTCTTCTTTGAAGTGCATACCTCCACCTCTCCAAGTTCTCTTCCAACTGCTCCCTGTTCTTATTGCAGACCACGTCAACTGCAAACATCATAATCCACGAGATTCCTGCCTGACCTAATCTGTTAGTCATCTGTCCATCAACAGAGCAAACAAGGCCAAATCCTTGAAGCTTGCTCCACGCATACACAATAAAATTAACTCAGTGAATGTATTAAAAGTTGCACAAAACTGAGCAATACACTGAAACACAATGTTCACGCTGTCCCACTATCATATATGTTGCTTTCTTTTAAACACCACAGGATGGGGTTCATTATTACCAAGTGTACCAATGAATGTTATTGGTTTATTTTATTTATGACATAAATGTACCTAACAATAACATGCACACACTGGGAGAGTCAGAACTGAAACGTATATTTGATATATATATATATATATATATATATATATATATATATATATATATAAACACGAAGGAAGAGAAGGCATCTCTTACCTGCCCAGTTCACAGGCAGCGATGGGACGTCTGAGTTTCTCCTGGCTTAATGCACAATACTTCCACTTGGCAGCTAGTTCAGCATTCTTATCAACCTGGAAAATTCAGACATGACGGACGACATATTAGCTTCGTCTTTAGCCTGAAAGCTAACCGGAAACTACAGTATAAAATGCCAATACATCCAACAATTGAAAACATATATCCACTTAACTAATTTATTGTAACGGAATTTAAATTATGTAAATGTAATTTATGTCACAGACAAACGACAAGAAGTGTACATTTAGTTTAGCTCGTTAGCGTTAGCAACCGATCCTCAACCATTTGACATTCAACGAAAGTGGAAACCAATACCGCACCTTCTCCACTTTTTTGGGGCCTTTCACCAACTCGTGTCTTTTTGGAATCGTTCCGCCATCACATCCCATCTTGAAAACTGGTTTGCAGATAAATTGAACCGATTAGCTCACAAGGAACAACGACGGTGATCAGTGACAGGAAGTTACTGGTTGTAAACAACGAGAGATCCGCAAAGCGCCGCCGCATGTGTTGCCACCTAGTGGCACACAAATGTAATGACATCACGTTAGTTGTAGTTCCTATTCTGGACGCTGCGTGGCAGCATTACGCAATTTATTGATTCTCTTGAAACAGTTGAAGTCCACTGTTAAATATGAGATCTTGAGGACCAATAAATATGTAGAAATTGTGCATTAGATTATTTTATTTTTATGTTGTCTTTTAAGGTTTTTTCTTGTTTTCACTGCACATGAACATAATTTCTAAGTAAGTACGTAATTTAAAATAGGCAAAGTATAATATAGTCTTTAAACGTACAATGGTTTTTGTAAATTATGTAAGAAATTTTGCATTAAAAATTGCCTTGTCTAGAGATTTGCATCTACAGCTCCCTTGATATGACAACACACAGGAATAAAATTAACTCAACTTCACATGGATTACTTCACTCTTGTATTGCTCATCCATCTATTAGACATTTTCAGGCAGCCATTAAAGTCAGAACTAGTAAGTGACATTAGTCTGGCTTTCAGGCCTGTTGTCAGAGTGGTCTAAAGATGAAAGTTTCCTTGGAAGATAGTTCAATGAGTGCTAATGAGATCTGTTTCCTGTGCCTCACTGGCTGCAGATTAGTTTACTATCGATGGTGCTGTTCAAGAGCGACCATTAGTTTGGGGAATACCTCAGTGGAGACATCTCTGGCGGCATGACTGATAATCTGTGTGGAGGAGAAGGCTGAATAAAACACAAAGCTGGACTTCATTTTGACTGAGAAAATAGGTTTCAGCCTCTTTTCTCTCACCTCGCTCGAGCAGTTAAATGCGCTCTCCCAAAATGCAGCAAAATGAATAAACATAAACAAAGAAACATCTCACCGTTGTGTCTGTTTGTTCGATTGGTTCTTCCTGTAATTTATAAATTGTGTTATGTGTCTTATTGAATTTCCCCCCTTTCTCACACAGAGCTAAATGTTTAGTATGGATTTTCATTAGGGGCAATGGAGTGAAAGCTCTGTTAGCAAACTATCTTTGAGAAAGTACAGCACGCAGGGGTAAGAGTGCAACGCAACACATCAGAAACACACAATTTGTGCAAGACAAAAAAGACTGGAACAGCAATCTTTTACTGAACAATCATCATAAAAATGTTATCAAAATGCAACTTTTCCCAAATTCTCCTGCCTTGATAGACTCTCGCGCTACCCACTAAGATATATGTGTTAGAGAGGTCAGTCCAATTTGAAGATTTTTCCATGACTGACCCAAAGAAAACCCCAACCACCAAGAGCCCATCTAACCTCATGTTTATATTTCCATGATGAGTCCAACCTGCCCAATCAGACTTCCAGTGACTGGCCTTGAACTGAAACTATATACCTCTTAGCCATCTGAGCCACTAAAAGCAGCCAGTGGGATAATAGGACTGCATTAATTGCATGGAAAAGCCCTGGTATTGCACCAAATCCAATGCATTTAGTGTTTCTAATTGAGGAGGAATTGCTTTGTTTACATTGGCGCTAGTTAATAGAGCCAGACCCTTTAGCCCTGCAGCCAAGCAAGCTAAGGCTCTTTGAAAGTAAAATAAAAACATTTAAAAAAAGAAACTGCCTCGTTCCTAAAATCTCTCTGGGGTGAATTTACTGGAACAGAGAGAGAGAAAAAAATGCTAGTTACTGTGATTTAGGTATGTAAGAGAATCAGATATCAAACCAGTTTATTTTGTTTTTACCAGCTCTAATCATCTTTTCATTTAGGAAATAATTCTGCACACAGGCCTTGTAATGGAGTCTGAATATCTAACATTTACTTCTGTATGGAGTATAAAGAATCTTGTTAATGTACTTTGTTATTTGAGATATCCCAGTTACTGATTGCATGAATTCACTGCAGTTGTTGTCTAAGATCTTCAGCCTTGAAGCACAATATGTATAAAAAATACATAATAACTGTGTAATAAGTTTAAGGATCTGTGTACAGTTTTGGTCTGACATTTGTTGCCAATACTTTTGATTTTCGTAAAGAAGGGCATTTGTTTTGAAATAATCCATGTGGTCAACATAGGCTGAACATATGGGATCCTCAGATATTATTCTACCAAAATACCAAAATACTTGTTTTCCATTCATTTTTGGTTTGGGATTTTGGATTACACACAGTTATTGCTGTTTTGGTAAAACTTAGTAAATTATATTATGTACTGGGTTGACTCAGAGTTTTAGATGCACAGCCAATGATTAGATTTTGAGAGTTCTACCAAAACTTGTCCACTAGTCGGTTGTATATTTTACTAACAGACAGACAGTGCTGACTATGACATTTAAAGCCAAAGTTTTAGACAAAGATGTTACACCTTGTGCAAAGCTCAGAGTAAAAGTTTTAAACAGCTTTCAGCTGTTAACTAACTAGCTTTAGGTTAAACCGATTGAGACTTTTTTTTTTGGATGAGGTTGATTGTTTCTATAAAATCCATCCTGTAGTTCAGAGGTGCCCCCAATTTCACAATTTCAGCATGCAAGCTACTTTTAAAATGACCAAGTCAAAGTGATCTACCTACTATAAGGCCCCGTTTATATGAGAACATCCTCTGGGAACGTTAGTGTTTTTTCAATGTTTATTGGGAGTAATAAACAAAAAATGACTGGGTTTACATGGAAAATGCAATAGTTTCCATGTCAGTTGTGTTGCCAGATAAGAATGTATTAACTATAGTACTGTCACTTTAAAATAATAGTATTTTGACCTAAACTGTCATATGTGCTGAGTAAAGATAGTCTAAGATGAGGTGTGTGTTCTGTTTGTTGAACATGTGCACAGAAAAGGAGCGGGTAAATAAGACACTTTAAATTTACCTGGCAACCCTGAAGCTAACTAAGCTGCATTCATTGTGCATGCAGTGTCTGCACAACAGTTATGTCCAAACTGGTGAATACACATCTGTTTGGACCCTGGATCTTATTAGTTTTGCTCCTACATGCTGAAAAAGGGTGAGTAGCACAAAAACACTGCTCTCTGCCATTTATTATAACTGTTACTAGTGCAGAAAAACTTTGGACTGCAGCCGCTTATAGTGCGCATGTGCAACTTCACACATGGAGAATTTCATGACAGGGCCGTGGGAGAGGGGGTGGGGTGGGGGCTCGAAAATCTCCACTCTGAGACCTGGTTTGAGAGAATGAGGGCTGTGACTGGCTCTGTGTGTCAGTCAAGTGATGATAGGTGGACGTCAATTTTTTAATGCCATGTGATCTACCCATAATACCTTTGTGATCAGCGTATTGGGCACCCCTGTTGTAGTTCCTAATAGAGTTGCATTCGGGCCCAAAAGATCCAACCCGGCCCCAGCTCGTAGCCATCATTTCCAAACCCCACCCAACCCAATGAATTAATAGTAATTGCAGTTCCACCCTCCCCCCCCACCACCACCACCACTACCACCCCCCGACATTTTTAATTAAGCTTTGACTGCTTATATAATTATTAAGAGTCAGCAGATGTGCGTGATTGAGAAAAGAGGGCAGAAGATCAGAGCTACTTCTGCCTGCATTCTGCATTATGCAGACACGGACCCTGCTCTGACATGTCGGATATTTTATGATCTCACCTGTTTGGGTCGTTGGCCATGCACGTCCGCTGAGTGCAGCGGCAGAATGAACATCCATTTGGGCTGATGGATCACTGGCAGTAGTCCATTTGAATCCTAACTGAACTTTTTATCTCCTTCAAGGCCGGTCAGTGCGTGGTGAAATGGCCATGTATGGCTGGTGAATGTATGGCAAGCCATGTTGCCATATATTTAGATCATCGGCCGCACGTGTCCGCTGATGAAATCAGAAGACACCAACTGGGCCCGCACATTAGGCACATTATTATGGCTCAGTCCGGCCATAATCCAGGTCGGGCGGGTTCGGGTTAGAAATGACAGCTCTAGTTCAAAAGAACTTTTGCTAACAGACAGAGTTGACATCAGTGAACAAAAGTTTGGGCAAAGAGGTTGCAATGTTTGTTTGCTCTGAAACTAAATTGTACATGCGTGTCTTCCCATTTTTTCATGCTAAAGAAATTTGTGAATTTCATTCAAGTCAAAATGTTAAAAAGTTAATTTCTATTTTTACATTCCCCCTTCAACCTTTCTATGAGAAATCATTTTTATATAGTTTCAGGTTGAAGAGCACACACTGCCACATTTTCTCTGTTTTAACTCTGAGCATGGAGCCGTATAAAAGTTCATGTACTTCATAATGAGAAATCCATAATCCTGGAAACAGCATCCACCATGAAGACTGCGAGGGGTTACCGCACACACCACAATTATTTTCTCATTCCTGTTCTGTTTATGTTGAAACTCACATGGCTGAAATTATGTCAATTGGAAATGCTCCCCATAACTAATTTTTCTATTCTCCTGGTCTGTGTCACACAACTCCTTGACCCACTTAAGTTTTCACCTCGTACCGTTTCTTTTTGTTTTTCCTGATTGATTGTTTTACCCCATGTCGCCTGGCATCAGGTCCTGAAAAAAAGGAAGCGAGCAAAATGTTTGCTTTTATAGCCATTCTTTGTACAATGAAAATAAAACACAAAATTAAAATGATTATTATTGTTACGTGATTCCAACTGGCATTTTAAAGAACCACAGATGAGTCAGCAATCAGGTTTTCCCTACACTGCTCAGCTTGGAGGGTATAATAAACGAACACAAGCCTACTGTTCCCATGGCTCCTCCAAGACAAAATTGCAGCCCTGCCATTTTTTCTTCCTCTCCGTCTTCCTGCACCAGCCTGCCGTGAGACACGTTTAATTCAGAAGCCGCTTTAAAACGCACAGCTCAACATTTTATTCACCACAAACGTCATGATGCACTGAGACCTTAGCGAGCCAAACCCATACTCGCTCACCAGCCCACGTGCACCGTCCACCTGGATGGAGCTTACCATCAGCCGACCGGTTTTGTGATTATCTTTTCCACTGCGACGAAATACACGGAACACCCGCAGACGCAAACCCACT